AAATCCATTCTCCTGACAATATTGCCAAGTACGTTATGATCATCTGAATGGTATCTAGAAGCTGATATGGTCGAGGTTATTACGTCACGAGACCCGCCACAATCAATATCGTTTTGAATAAACCTTTAAAAACCGCAACATCGTTCATTAATTTATTATTAGCTAATCAGCCCTATTTTTTAAATAACTTTATGTCCAAAATGTTTTAGTAGTTCAGGTACACGCTTATTAAATTAGAACTGCCGGAATTACAACTACACTGAATAAACCCATACACGGATATGAAATTTACTAGGTAGTATATGATATCAGGAACAGGTGTTAGTTGACTGGATAATTCATATTCAGGAAATTTGAGAGACACACTTGTATAATAGAACATTGAAATATTAATATACAATGATAGAACTTTTACGAAGCAAGGAACCACCCACTCGGACCACCTGTAAGACGCATATGTATATAATCAAATGAAGGTGTCTTTACATTTTTTATATAACAGCTCACGGAAATCTTCTCAGTTCTCAAACATACTCGTAGTATAGTCTTTTAATGATTGTGTGTGTCATTATGTAAACACCGCGACTTAAGTAGAAAAATAAACAAACCTGAAAATAATTCACATCCATTTGAGCAAAGCCGCCTCTAACAACTTGCTCCGCTATCCAGTTTGCGGAGAAATTTCAGGAAACACCTTCATTTATGCTGCTTCCACCTGCCCCATTTTCAACCCACAAATTTAAATTAATTGGAAACTCTAACAAACTTCGAATACTTAAGTGGTAAACACACTAGGATATATTACAACTCTCTTCGCGTTTACAAGAATTTATTGTTGGCCGGTCAAAGAACGAAGATTACGACGCGGAAACGTACTTTATTTAAGCGCGTTATACAAGAAAAATTAAATAAAGTTTGGTGTTTAAATTAAAGTTCTAAACAAGATTAACCACAAATAATATTAAAACAAACACAAGCATACACAATGACTGCTAAACAAATCGTCAAAACAACCAGCCATGTTGGCTCCATCTATATTTGTTTAGAAGGACATAATGATAACAGAAAGGCAGCTTCCATTTTCCTGAATTAATGTATGTTTATTTTATTCTGATGATTTTTAGCTTCCTAGCATGTGCCAGGTAGCTATTGCGATAGCCGTTTTTTGAACATTTCAAAATTTCATTAAATGTCGACTTTTTAGACCATTTTAAGCAACTTTTAAAGAATAAAATTTTTTCCCGTCTGTATGTACGTACGTACGTTTGTTGGCAATTTTCTGAGAAAACGGCTCGACGGATTTTGTTGAAATTTTGTATATATGTTTTAGGCATACCGAACAGAAAAATAACGGGCCGGATTTTTGAAAAAAAATTTTGGAGCGCCGTAACGGCATCGAACTTTTTTTTTCAAATAGCAACCTAAAATTTTTATTCTATTATTTGGTAGACCTTATTTTGCTGTGTACAACCTACAAAAAATTGGGCCGGGTTATATTATCAAAAAACGGAGAAAAAAAATTGTCAAAGTCAAAAAATTGTGTTGCATATGTGCAAAACGCAACGATCTTATTTCTGAAGCAATTTAAACGAAATTTCTATGGTCCCTTTAATAAAAGCAAACAAAATTCATGCGCAAAAATCGTGTTGCACATGCGCAGAAATGCAATTTTCTTATTTATGGAACAATTAAAACGAAATTTGGATGGTAGGTCCTCCTAATAAAAGAAAACAAAATGCATGCGCAAAAATCGTGTTGCGCATGCGCAGAAATGCAATGTTCTTATTTATGGAACAATTAAAACGAAATTTGGATGGTAGGTCCTCCTAATAAAAGAAAACAAAATGCATGCGCAAAAAATCGAGTTGCGCATGTGCAACATCCAACTTTCTTATTTATGGAGCAATTTTAACGAAAATTGGATGGTAGGTCCCTCTAATAAAAGTAAACAAAATGCATGCGCAAAAATCGTGTTGCGCATGCGCAGAAATGCAACTTTCTTATTTATGGAACAATTTTAACGAAATTTAGATGATAGGTCCTTTTAATAAAAGCTAACAAAATGCATGCGCAAAAAATAGTGTTGCGCATGTGCAACATCCAACTTTCTTATTTATGGAGCAATTTTAACGAAATTTGGATGGTAGGTCCCTCTAATAAAAGCAAACAAAATGCATGCGTAAAAAATGCATCTTTCTTATTTTTTCCGTCTGTAAGTGCGTACATATGTTGGCAATTTTTGGTTTCAGCTAGGAAGCTATTCTGTCAAGAATTTGACACCTGGTTTAATACAGTGGAAATTTTAAATGTTTTCAAGTGCCGATGTTAAAGTTGCAAACATAAATTGCCTATAACCATTACATAATGCACTGATTCTTGCTGCATTTTAAATTGCATTGCATTCTTCTCAGCATGAAAGAAATCACTCTCGATTAGCCAATTACATGCTTTGATTTTTCAAAATTCACGCCTTCACGGTAATATGCAAAAATTACATTGCTTTGAAAATAACTGATAGAGCGTATCTTAGCAACCCCGTAAGTCGCCATGTGAATAGTCAAATACACAACTCCTTTCTGCTGTGCTGTTTAGTGTTTCCCATAATTTTTATAGTCCAGTCAAATTATACGGTTTGGGCTGGATGTTGTTACTTCACTCAACGAAAGCAAGTGTACCCACTACGTAAAAAAAATCCGCTGAATCGGAAAATCATAGTCCCCCTGGGAAACTCTCGATGATTCTTTCAAATTAATCGACGGACTCGACATTTTTGGTTGTCTTGAAAACAAGCTACAAATAAGTTTCCATTTGCATATTATAGTTACATTTCTTGTTATATTTTAAAAATTATTCAATTTCTTAACTAAGAAAATTTTTCGTAATTTGAAAAAAAATTCCACAGATAGTGTTTTCTTTGTCGAAATTCACCTTTTTAATTAACCTTTATTTTATTACGAAATGGAAAGTACACTTCATGGGTATTATTTATCAAATGTATTTCTTAACTTCATAATCAAAGTCAATCAAACGGGGAATTATTCAGATTATTCAGTTATTTATTGACACCATACAAATGGGACACCCTGTACATTCAAAAATAATTTCTGTAGATACGTAACCATCTACAGTAGTTGACATTTGCATAAAAGATTTTTTAAATATTTTTTACTGGGTATGAGCATATACAATGGTTTGAGTTAGAAAAGACCGACGGACTGTTGCAGGACCCTGTATATACTCAACCAAATATTCGAATATTGAATCGAAAATTTTTAGTGGCTTTTTAGCAGTGTTGTAATAGGTACTTTTATTTCAGTATCTAGGTACAGTTACAGGTACTTGAACAAATAAATACTTAGGTACAGGTATAGGTACATATTTGTCACAGTACCTAGGTACAGGTACAGTTACAGTGTAAAAGTACCTAAAAACTGTAAGTAGGTACTTTAAAAAGTACATTGAAAAAATGAACGCTGTTAAAGAAGTTTAATGTCTATTCTAATTTCACAAAAAAGTAATACATACAAATGTACTCATACCTTACAGATTAATTGTGATTTGTGATATTACTGCAATAGGTCTGTTTGGTGACGTAAGAGAAGAAGAATTTCAAACATTTCATCGGAAAGACGGTTTCTTTTAGGAGTCAGAATTTGTCCTGCCGTACTAAATAGCCTTTCAACTGGTGCAGATGAAGGCAAAATAGTATTATAAATTTTGTATACTTTCATAACGAGGGGATAATTCAATAAAGATAGCTTATCCTTTGATTTGTCTTGAAAATACCTTAGGCATTCCATCTCAACGATACTTTTAAAAGCTGAGGATTCCACATATTCTTTCTCTGACAAATGCAAGCTTGACGTTGGACTAAGAGGACTTTTAAGAATATCGAAGAAATCATCATCTTCGCTGCCAGCAGAAGCAGCGCCACTTTCCTCTTCATAGGCTTTAGCAGTATCTCTTTTAGAGGCTTTTTCACATTCAGTAATGAACAAGGATTTGATAAGCTTAGTTGTGCTCTCAATAAGGTTCACATCTGATGTTGTTGAGGTTATCCACTTTAACTTAAATTTTGGTATCGAAACAGTGGCCAAAATATAGGGTTTTGAGGTACTGCTATTTAAATTCAAAACCATTTATCATTTATCTTTGAGATTTTGATTTTGTTAAATGTTAATGTACCTAAGGCTTGTAGGTATTTAGGTACCGTCAAAAATGTATCTAGGTACAGGTATAGGTACACTTTTTTTTTTGTACCTTTGCAGGTACTTAGGTACTAAATTAGTACCTTAGGTACAGTGCCTAGGTACTTGTACCTAGGTAAGTTACAACACTGCTTTTAGCTGGGAAATATTGTAAATTGTATCTTTCAGCTATTCCGTTTCAATAGCGTTGCCGACCCGAGGCGCTTTCTTTCGCTGCTTAGCAATCATGATGATTTCAATCGTGATTCGTAGGATCACGTTTTACGAAAGAACGCGCGAATTTAAGTCAAAATATGGTTACGTTTTAGTACACATATGCATTCAAATTACCAATTTTTTGTTTGGATTATGAAAATAATTTAAATACAAGTGAAAGTACTTGCACGATTATGCCCCCTTCAGTTACAAATATTGACTAACCTAACATTTGAGTAAAAATATCCTTGCATTTATAGGCTAGGAATTCGTGATCATAAAACTTTTATGTTTACTTGTTCACGATTTTAGCAATCATGATAATAAGATCACACTTCGAAAGAACGTGATTTGACAATCCAAACGCGTTTGGATCACCGAAAGAAAGCGCCTCTGACCTATATGATTTTAACACTCGCTCACTCGTTTAGGAAACTTCATCCTCGTGACTAATAGCCACCATTCTACGCTCGTTGAAGAATGTACTATTACCATCATTCTGTATATTCTACGTCAGATCCCAAGGTTAGTATAACCACAGAAACTAAAGTACGATCCGTAGCGTACTATTCTGTGGTAGCTACTTGACAGGAAGCTAACCACATTCTGATGTAAGATCTAAATCTAACCTGAAACAAAATGACCCTCAAATTTTGAAAAAAGAAAGGCAAACGACAACAGGCGAAAATATGTCTCAAAAATTAGATAAGAGCGTCGCTCAAAAAGAAGTCGTTCAAGCGGTTGTTATTGCAGAACATTTTGGAAATGAATTCATGCCGATTACTGATGATACACCTCTAGTAAGAAAGAAATATGATGCAATCCTGACTTGTTCAATTTAACTTCCTTTCAGACTCTTTTGCCGTTGCTTAACGTACCATTACTTGAATACACTTTGGAATTTTTATCCTTGGGTGGTATCGAGGAAACCTTTCTCTTTTGCTGTTCCAATGTTGTTATGATAAAACAGCATATTAAGTTAGTATTTTCTGCGGAGCTAGCCATTCACTTTTGATTCGATGCATATTTTAGTAGCAGCATTGAGAAATCCGCAGGATGGTCATTAACGATGAAAGTGCACGTTATTGTTTCTGAAACATGCAGGTCGTTCGGCGACTGTATCAGAGATCTGGATGCGAAGGCATTAATTCGTGGCGATTTTGTTTTACTAGAACCAGGAATTGTTGGAAACATAAAATTACTTCCCATTATAAAAAAGCACAAGTACATATACATATGTTGCATTGCATTCACTGAATTCTTGCATCATTACCAACACTTTATTAATATTGTACGGTTTCAGTGAAACATGCAACACGGATAAGGGTGCCGCAATGACTCTGATATTACAAGAGGCTGGGTTAGGTCAGAGAGGTAGGTGTTCTTTTGAGGAAGTGTTAATGGTGGCTACACCCAATAATAGAGTGTTACTTCATCAAAAATTGGGCACATCGAAAAAGGCAAAAATAGAGTTGCCACTGGTAAGGCGGGCGTTAAGTTAACATTCGGGTGAAGTATTTGAAATTTACATTGTAGGAGATACTAATGGACAATGCATCTGTAAATATTTATCACAACCTGAAAGATACGCACATTTCCATATGTTCACCAAATGTGCTCTCCTTGTTTTCTGATAACTTCGATTTTCAAACAAAGGACGATTTCGTGCGTGGACTGTTAATCAATGAGGAAATATTAGGAAGCACCATTTATTGGCATTTAATTAAGGGGAACCAGTATGGAGCCGCAGTGACTAATTGGAGAATGTATCAATCTGTGAGGTATTCAGTTTCTTTTTTCAATAAAATCGACCAATTTGTCAAATTAAGCAATATCATGGCTATAGTCAGTGAAATAGACAATTTTCAATATAAGATTAGCATTTATATTCATAGTGGGTGTTGGTCAAGTTATACAACGTGTTCAAAGTGAAGTTGGCACTATTGCTTATTGCAGCTATGGAGTTGGTTACATTAGGAAACACAAAACTTTCCACCATATTTCCCTTTGACTGGAAGAAAGGGGACTGATCATATCCTATCAAGAGCAATGCTGTTGATGAGGCAAATTTTCATGTGGCGCCCATATTCTGGGTGGCCAAAACTGTGTTTACTTCTTGTTTATTACATCAGCTGTTTGAATTTCTTGACCAGTGGCGTACCTCCATTGTACTTATTGTATGTATAATATTATAATGAACAAAAAAGATATACATAAATTTGTTTTTTACTTAAATTTAAGCCGCTAATACTTTATGGCTATGTGATAAAATTCCACAAACTAATGGTACGTGTTTGCTTTCGTAGCCGAGCTCAGAATGCGGGCTCTGCTGTTACGTTCGACATTTGTATCTCACCCGCTTGAAACCGGCGAGTCCTTTATATTTTCTACATAGGCCACCTCTCTGTAGCGACGGTTTCAGAACTTGCAACATGGTTGAGCCTGCGTTTTGTTCCAAGTTCGCGGCGGTTATCGCTCTTATCTCCCGACATACTTTCATTCACGTTTGCTGTGAAGTGGTATATGTGTAAATGTCTCTATGTTGAATCAAATCCAAACTAAAAAAATAATTTTAAAAATTGCAAAAACCCAAATAATTCAATTACGCCAGTGATCAGGTATTAGAGGCTTGGTAGTAGTAGAACAAATGATGAGGCGCTCTAGATGAATGTAGAGGTTATATTTTCCAAAAGCACCTTCAACATTCAGAGAGCATTCTCAAAGTTTGACGTAATTTTACTTTGCAAATTGCCCGAGCGACCTCCGTTTATCCTAACTAATAATACGCCCACTAAACTAAGCTTGAGTAGAGTTACTCTCCGAGAAAAAATTATTTGGCATTATTTGTTTGTAGTCGAGATATTCTCCATCGATGGTTGTATCCTCTTGTGCCCGACATGGGAATTTCCAGTCAGCAACGGAGTTACATTCACTTGCAAAACAACGTGTATCGCAGCAAGGATGTACATTTAACACAGTAAGTGGTTGTGTTTAGTTTGTCACTAAAGCTACTTAAATTTCCAGAAGCAATAGCTTAATTGAGGACGTAATCATTGGTGGAGGCAGTTCTGTTGGTGACAAAACGAGAATATCAAGATCGATTATTGGAGAATCAGTTAAAATTGGAGATAATGTTATAATTGAGGACTCGTTTGTATTTTCTAATACTGTGATCGGTGATAATTCTGTTATTCAGCATAGTATAATAGGACAGAAGTGTGTTCTTGAAACAGGTTGTATAGTTACAAAGGCGAGTGTAATAGGGAAAGGAGTTGTTTTACCTGAAAATTCTATCATTGAAAACTATTTGATTCGATCACACTCATCTAAAACAGGTAGGTGATTTATATGTGCTTATTTACTTTTCTCCCATCTCTATAACACCTCCAACTGTTAGATGTTCTGCTGTTCACACATTATTTTTTTTACTCATGCTTATAGGGGAGGCTGGTTCCGACACTAACCTTCTTAAAACGTGAGCTGAATAAGAGATTGCAATGCTTTTTGAAGCGTTTAACAAAGAACGAATGGCATATATCATGTACCAAAGTACCATTCAGTAAGAATCTCTTCTTGCATTCATAACACCAAAATGGAATTTTTAGGTTGATTTCTTAAAGCATTTCGAACTTTTTTGTTACGGATTATTTTGTGCATGGACAATTTTTTGGACCATGGGAAAATTTTTGGCAGTTGGCCAAGGTCAAATTTTGGCATTTGGCTAGCGTGCAAGGTCAAATTTTGGCAATTGGCCCAAGGTGCGAGATCATATTTCAGCAGTTGGCTTAGGGTGCAAGATTACGGCAGTTAGCCTGAGGTGCTGGGTCATATTTCTGTAGGCCCGCTTGGGGTATTTCGGTAGTTGGCCTACCATCTTGGTTGCTGGACCCGACGCTTTGGCGCCATCGTTGATTGGTGGAAATATCTTTTTTATTGGCTTTGGGATTTAAATCAGGATACCTGAATTAGTAGGGTAGGGCGTAACCAGTTGCGCTATGGAGCCTTAATAAGTGCATTTATTTCTATAAATAGAATCGCGAATTGCAGCAGAATGTGTGATACTTTAACGTCTTTATTGCCGTTTTAATATTTATCATCCAGTGCGCCAATTAAAAAAATGGAAGGCGTTTCCAGATTTCCACAAGAATTTTGTGCCAAGAATAGACTTCCAATGGTATGATGGAATGTGCCTAACAGCTCATACAAGTATATATACTTTAAAAACTTATCTTAATTGGAAATCACCTCCGCCTTGTGACTAAATGACCTCCGCCCCAGGTCCTCTGAATCATGGTACAATTGCATCCCCATACACTGCCCGAAAACGTCACTGCATAAGAATCACACACATTCAGCATTTTGGTTGTACTCGGCATGACTGCGACAAGACTGACTGGTCTGCTACAATGGGGTGGGGGTTTACAGTATAGTTGAATTCCGTAGTTCTAATTTAATAAGCGTATACCTGAAACCATAAAACAATTTTCTGGACCGTAAAAGTTTAATTTAAAAATAGTGGCTGAGTAGAAAAAAAACAATAAACATGTGCGGTATTAGAAGTTTATTCAAAACGAGATGATTGTGGCGAGCGCTATGACGTAATAATCCCGACCAATCTGCTGCTAGTACCATTTCGCACAATTTGTTCAAAGTTCAAAGGTTGCCAGGTGTTCAAAGTCCAAAGGTTGGTTGCGGGCAAAGTCCAAATCAAATGTTGTTTATCAAGGTGAGGATCATATTCAGGTGTGAGATTAATGTCAAGTTAAAAGTTTCTTCATATGGAATCCCATTAAAAGATTGTGCTGTATACTGAAATAAAAAGAGTAATTTTCAACATAGTTCAAAAATGGTAATTTTAACGCTTCTAAAAAAATTAATTACGTTTTAAAGATTTATTGCGAATATACAACCGTTACCTAAAAGTATTCACACTCCCATTAATAATTTAAATCTGAAAAATTGCATACGAACATAGTTTTTTATAATCTATCCTCGAATCTATCGAAAGAAAATATTATCATGATCGTTTCACTTCCGGCTATACCGGATGTGTTATTTTAAATAGAACATCTTGTATTTTGTTGGATTTTTGAGATTACATGAAAATCTACGTCGTTTGATACCACATTTCGCTATACCCGGCATCAAAGGTTTTCAAGTTTTTCAAGATTTTTCAAACTTTTTGACATTTGACTGCTTTTCTTTAGTACCCTGTATCTGTGACTGTTAATTTCAAAAACTCTTCCAAAATCAACAATACTGACTTGATGCTACATATTTAAATTTTGATTTAGAACTAGCACCGGCTCATTCTAGCCATGATGCTTATAGGTATGTCTTTGAACATTTTGGAAGACAAGTGGATCGGTCTACAGATGCGCAGGTATTGGTCTTCTAGATCTCCAGATATAACGCTAGAATGCTACTCAATACAGTAATACGGTAAAGTAGCAATGAGAAAGAGTTTTCTATTTTTTTGTATCTGTTCAAATAACTTCAGAAAAAAAAAAAACGAAATGGGTAAATTTCGGTTGTTCTGGCATATCTTCGGAAGTAATCTGTATTTTCTGGTTTTGTTGAAAGCATGATAATAATTCTTTAATTGTGTATCTTGGCCATCGTACAATTTAACTTCTACGTTTTGTAGTTTCCGAAGTAAAAGGGAAAATGGAAAATTCTTTTAAAATCTCGGCAACCTCTCATGACGTCCGAATTTTCGTATTGGTATATTATTGGGCTCCAAAATACGCAAATTTGCCCCAATTTAAACTACACTACATCTCCAAATAATCAGATGCCCTGATTCCCATGTTTGTGCTCGAAAAACGGACACCCTGTATACTTCATAGGCTGTTGAATTTCGGGCTTATTGTATAACTGGAAATTTAGGGAAGATAAAATTATAACCACCATCAATATTGAACTATTTCGTGTTGTATAATAAAGAAAGAATGAGATTGAGGAGTTGGTTAGGTAATAAACTCACGATTAGAACTACTACAATTTCGCTTCCTTTTACCGAATGTGTATTAATAAAATGACTGACTTGAGGAGAAGAAGGAAGCTGCAACTATCGAAAATGTACATCAAGATGCCAAATACTTAATAAATCGGTTGTATGAGAAAGTCTCTTACATTGGAATGTGTTTAGAAAAAATTCTGCATTACAATCCTTCAATTATTGTTAGTGGTATAATGGTATAGCCTCAGTCTGTATAAAAAAATTATAAATTTTCTACGTACTTTATATGAAAGAATTTAACTAGAGTTCGTTGCACTGTTCACTACCTCTGCGTGGATTTTGACTGGTTACTAACCTTTGGACCTTGATGGGCGAGCAGCGTTTGGACTTTGACCAGTAACCAACCTTTGGACTTTACACCAACCTTTGTACTTTCAAGAACGGCGAAAATAACGGTTAAGCTTTTCGTAAATGATCCCCTACATGTCCTTTGTGCATATAAATCGAATTACCTATCAACAATTCACCTTTTTTCGATAACCCTGTACAACATGTGGAGTAATTTATAGAGGAGGTATTGCTTCAATAATGTAACTTCTTCGCCTTTGTATTTACATTCATATACTATAGCTAATAAATGTTAAATACTGTATGAGCTGTTATTTTCGTCACCGGAAGGCTATTTATAACACAAAGAAAATTCTGGTAGAAATCTAGAAACATAATTTGGTATAGGTGTAGGGGACTTTCATTTTTTTTAAACTGATGCACTGGATGCAAACTATCACACATTCCGCTATAATTCGCGATTCTAATTATAAAATTCTTACAAATAAATGCAGTTTTGTAGTTTGTGAAAAGACCAAAGTTCAAAGTACAAGTCTTCCTTTTTTTTTACTTTAATCTCTAACTATAAAATTGGTAGTCTTGTAGCTCAACTGGTTACGCGCTAGTCATCTATTTCAGGTATCGTGGGTTCGAATCTCAAAGGCAATAAAATTTTTTTCCAGCAAACACCAACGGCGCTAAAGTGACGGGCCCAGCATCCAAGATGGTGGATCCAGCAACCAAGACAGTAGACCGAAATACCTCTGGCGGACCAACTGCCGAATCACTTCCGGTGGACCACTACCGGAATAGAACGCCGGGCCAACTGCCGAAATCTCGCACCCTTACCCAACTGCCGAAATCTCAGACCCCAGGTTATCAGCCGAAATATGGTCTTGCACCCCCAGGCCACCTACCAACATTTGGCCCATTGCCAAAATTTGACCAGGGACAATTGCTAGTGTGACCCCGGCCAACTGCCAAAACCCATCAGGCTCAAGTGACTCCATACCATACCCACTTAAAATTGTCACTATTGGCATAGGTGTTTTATCCAAAACCTACAGCAAGCCAAAATGTTTTTTTCTCCTCGTATTTCAAGATCTTAAATGGGATTTTTAATTTGCCTCGGTCCATTATTCAATTTTGGCATTCGTTTTCCTTGCATTTGCTTCTCCCACAGAACCCTGCTAGTGAAGTTGAAGAATATGAGATTAGTACTGCTACTTTTTCATTCACTGTTTTGTTTCACAATCTAAAACTGGAGTCATTGTCTTAAATGTATACTTAGGTACTTCACTTGCTTTTATTTGCCATTATTATTTTTAAGTTGGTCGCAAAGAACTTAAACAGCCTGTAGATGAATTTACAATATCTTGTACTTTTAGGAGTGGCAAGCAATAAGTTAGCTAAAAATGCTTATCACATAAAGCCAGAGGAAAGCGTTGAATCAGATGCTGAAGATGACGGTTTGCATAGAAAACTTTCGAGGTTATATATGCCCGATGAGGCCGAGCCGTCAGATGATGAGAGTGTTAAGTCATCTGAAAGTGAAGATAATCTGTCGTATACAATCTCACCTGTCCCAGATGATACAAATTGTAAGTCCATAAAGTGCCTGTTGTTTTAATTGGGTATGGGGTAGAATTGACTATATTTTAACTAATGCTCTTACGCTTGCAAAGTTTGAGATGCACGGGTTGGAAGTAAGAGGTGCTTAACAATGCTTTTACCTTATAAATCAAAATTCAGTGCTTACGCTTAATAATATTTTCAATCTTTGTTTCAGTATTCTTAACCGAAGTTGTCGACAGCCTTACCAGAGGTTTTGAAGATAAATTACAGTGCGATAATTTAATACTAGAAATAAATTCATCCCGATATGCTTATAACGTTTCAGTTAAGGAGGTGAATTTCTTTTCGATCATTTTGAATTTATGTTCAAAATCTTGCTCTAAGTCATTGATCGATTACAAAACCGTTTGTTTGTAGGTAAATTTCAACGTTATAAAAGCTATATTGATGTTACCTTTTCAATTATATCTTGGACAACCTTATTTGCCTTCATTACGGCCATTGTTGGATTACTTCTCACCGATCCTGAAGAATTATATTCGTAACATTTCCGCCATGGTTGATTGTCTTCAAGCAATTGAGGTAAGTCTTTTTGTTTCATGTTAATCAATGTTCCTTATTCATGAATTTGAAATTAATTCATTTCGTGCCACTTTTTAGGATGTAGCTGCTAATAACAATGAACTAAACGAGTGTGTTTCTGCTGTGTTAAATTGGTTGTACAATAAAGACCACCTTTCCGAGGATGTAATTTTGAATTGGTTCTCTGGAATTGACAAAAACACAAGATTTTATGCTCGAGTTGAACCTTTTACTAATTGGTTACAACAAGCAGAAGAGGCTTCGTCAAGTGAAGAAGATTGACATATTAATGTTGATTTTGTCAAATAAAAAGATTTAATCTTCTTTGCTATTCATTCATTGTGAGGTATTCTACCCTGTATATACTGTTTGAGCACAGTCCACCTCACTACATTCCAGAGAGGGTCGCCATTAGAAATCTTCGACATTGCACTGACCTGTGGTGTATCAGTTTGATGTAGCGACCCAAGCCTCAATCCATCAGGAATACAAGTAGTTCTTCATGACAAAGATAAAAAATCGTCCAACTGTATGGATTCGACTAGGGTCTCTGGTTCGAATCCGGATTCGGACATGAATATTTGTAAATGTATAGTGAGATGGGTTGGTAAAGCATCCTTGGCTGAAACCCTGCCCATTTAAAGATAAAGCCTAGTGGTGTTGCTCAAAGTACAATCTATTATATCTCATAATAAAGCACATTTAAAAACTTTTGACTCTTTCATGTTTTAAAAGGTGCTGTTTAAGATAGCTTTTACTTTTTGTCTCAAAATCACAATTTGCACATTTAAAATCCTTAGTAGTTTTATGTTTTAAAAGATGTCGTCTGAAGTAACGTTTAACATTTGTCCGATAATCACAACTAACACACTTAAAATCCTCAGAAACTTTATGTATTAAAAGATGTCGTTTGAAGCTGCTTTTAACATTTGTCCCATATTCGCACTCAGCACATTTAAAATCTTTGGTAATTTTATGTTTCAAAAGGTGTTGGTTAAAATTATATTTCTTGTTTGTCTCATAATCACAATTATCACATTTTAAATTCGTAGAAACTTTATGTGTTAGCAGATGTTGTTTAAAGATATATTTCGTGTTGGTCTCATATTCACAATCGGCACATTTAAAATCCTTCAAAACTTTATGTTTCAAAAGATGTTGTTTGAGGTTGTGTTTATCATTTGTGCCATAATCACAAGTATCACATTTGAAATCCTTAGCAATTTTATGCGTTAAAAGATGCCGTTTGAAGAGGTGTTTATTATTTGTCCCATAATCACAAGTAGCACATTTCAAATCCTTAGAAGCTTTATGTGTTAAAAGATGTTGCTTGAAGATGAGTTTATCATTTGCTCCATAATCACAATTGGCACACTTAAAATCCTTAGAAATTTTATGTCTTAAAAGATGTCGTTTGTAGTTACGTTTTACATTGGTCCCATAATCACAATTAGCACATTTAAAATCCTTAGAGAGTTTATGTTTTAAAACATGTTGTTTGAAGTTACGCTTAACATTTGTCCCATAATCACAATCAGCACATTTGAAATCTGTACAAATTTTATGTTTTAAAAGGTGTTGGTTAAAGTTAAATTTCTTGTTTGTCTCATAATCACAATTAACACATTTCAAATCCTTAGAAACTTTATGTGTTAAAAGATGTTCTTTGAAGACGTGTTTACGATTTGTCCCATAACCACAATCACCACATTTAAAATCTTTAGAAACTTTATGTACTAGTAGATGTTGTTTGTAGACACATTTGTCATTTGTGCCATAATCACAATCGGCACATTTAAAATCCTTACAGACTTTATGATTTAAGAGATGTCGTTTCAAGAGGTGTTTGTTATTTGTCCCATAATCGCAAGTAGCACAATTAAAACTCTTAGAAGCTTTATGTGTTAATAGGTGTTGGTTAAAGTTACACTTCTTGTGTGTCTCATAACCACAATCTGCACATTTAAAATATTTAGGCGCTGTTTTACAATGAGTCAAAAGGTGAAAGTTAGAATGTTGTTGTTCTTCATCATAAAGAGATTTAGAACACGCTGTACTAATGGCAATTTCGTCCTTTATTGTCACCAAAACTTCGTTGCTTACTGAAACATGTCCTTGAAGAGAGGAATGGATTTCTTCTTCTTGTTTTGGTTCGATTTTAATGAGTAGTGTGTCATTATCAACATCCATACCTAACAACAAAGTTATAAATAAAAATGGATTACAAATCTGTTTTTGTTTATCAAAAATCTATTTTACCATTCAACAATATAGGCTGAAATCCCAGGGCAACCAGACATTAATTGTTGAGTATTGGGAATTTATTTGGGAATATAAGAGCATTGTTTATAAATAAACAATGATAAGAGTTGCAGTACCTTAAGACCATTGCAGTCACGTAAGTTCGTGTTGCAATTGCATACACATTCAAACACAGCCATCGTAATTATAGATGGCTGTGGTTATAATAGGTTGCTATGTTATACAGTGCGTTTATCTTAAACTGGAACATACGATCATTGAATTTATAACTATCAGAAGCGCAGATCCCATATAACAGTTTGTGACCATGTGCCAACTGGCCGCCGCTAGGAGCAGTTCGATCGTTTGAAAGTCCGTGGGCGATCGAAAGTGGAGCGTTACATTGACATTAGATGGCAGCATTACAAACCATTTATTTTGACCATTCGAATATTTTCCTTTTTAATCGTCAGATGTCAGGAACTCCGGATGTTTTTTGTGTTATCATTGGAATGGTTTTATAAATAGGATTGGAATGTTCTAAAAATAGATCCCTTAAGAAGCATTGCGTAAATTTGTAATGTAAATAATAATACATTTAGACGAACGAAGCTTGCAGTCCTTGTCCTTGAAGGAATGCAATTTCATACATTCTATTCACAGGCAGTAAAATAGGCAGGTTCCACATTTTTACTGAAAGCGGGAGATTTTGTTATTAAAAAACGATCAAAAAAAATTTTAAGGCAAAATATTGTCCGTTGCAAGCAGGCAGCTACATCATTTCCACATTCACATTTGATAACTAAATTTCTCGAATCAGCTTTTTTTATAACCATGCAGCATTGTGCACAAATAAATCGGTCCCAGTTTACGTGAATTCGTATACCTACTGGAGCTGAGCGATAAATGAAATTGTTATCGATTTATCGATAAGTCTGTTCAGTCTGATAATTATCGATTAATCATTAATTGATAACTATCGATAATTATCGATAACTTTAATCACTTATCGTTAACTTTCGATAATAATCGACAATTATCGATAAATCGTAAGGCTAATTTTCGATAATGATCGATAACGTTTGATAATTATCGATAACTTTTTATAATTATCGATAACTTTTGAAAATAATTAATAATGATTGTTAGCTGCTGATAATCGATTATTATTGCCACGAAAATTGTCTATCTCTGATATTTATCGATTAATAAATAAGTAGCGGAAATTATCAAGAGAAAACTATGGATACTTTTTCATAAATCTCATCGATATATATTCTCAATCGATATATTACATCATCCATGCGTACACTCGCTAACATTTTTGTTTTTTTGGTATTGATATTGCGAGAGATAATTTAAATAAAACAGGATCTTTTGATGCTCAAGTTGTCTGAAATCAAAGGTGATCAAGTGGACGATAATCCTAAAAAATGAGTACAGCAGTAGGTTGTGAATTGTGATCATATGGCAACTCAACAATGCTCTTACATCGCTTTTGTTGGAAGTAAACTGGTATACCTAAACATTGAAAAGTTTATGTCGTTAAAAATTCTCTCGATAATTATCTATCTTAATAGTTTATAGTTGTGAGATTAATCGATAGATTATCGGTAATTATAGGTTTATCGACCAATCCTTTAACATTTTCGATAAATTACACCGGTCTACAGCATTTTTGCGCATGGGACATATATACCTTATTTTTATTGCTTCTATAGCCACAAATAAGAATTAGAACAAAAAATGGTTATGTATTTGTTTTTGTGTGAAAAAAATGCAAAAAACCAAAAAATAAGAATACCTATAGAATCCTACTTACATCGGCATGATTTATTAAATGGTAACGTTTCTACATTTATAATTTGTTTATCTTAGAGTCTAAATGTTTAAAAATGGAACAGTTTTGCTGTTTTTGTCATGTTCAACTGAATCTGATCTTCCATCATGCTTCCAACTTCCTGGCCTTGGGAAGGTGCCTAAGTTCCATTGTCTCGAGAAAGTGTTGTCCTTATTCCGAATAAGCTCCCATATTATCCTTAAATTGATCTAAATGAGAATGTAACCTGTGCAGTGTGCATCTTTATTCTTTAGAGACATTCTATACCCCATGATACAAAACCAAATCCTGTCAGCTCGTCATAATTTTCAGCTCTATGGTTTCCCAGGAAACACTGAACGGGAAACCATGGACTATTGCCTTAAAACTGTTCCAGGATTTTTTTTCCTCTTTGCTAAGTAACCGCGGAAAAATATCACCCTCCATTTTTCTTTTTTTTTAAGGGAAAACAAAGATTCCAGCTTTAATTTTCGCCCCTGAAAGCTTTCAATCAAATCGCTGTAACTTTTGTAAAAGCAAATATTTTCGATGTCTTAATCGCACTTTTTATTTATTTTTGCTTATTATAGTCAGAATATATATTGTGTAAATCCCATGCGCAAAAAATTCTTTTTTTGTTGACCGGTCGACCATTTTTTTTAATTTATCGATTGACTATCTATTAATCGATAATTATCGATAAGTTATCGATTAACCATTGAGAACAAATTTCAAACGTCAGAATTTAAAAGAAAAGAGGTTAACGACCTTTTTATTTTGTATCAAAATTGCCAGGTGTGACGTGTGATCCTAGATCAGGGGTCGGCAACCTGCGGCTCTTTTGATACCTATAAAGTTGCGGCTCTCCGTATTTATCTAAAGAAATTAGTTCATTTGTTCGAAATTCGCCTTTTTAATTAATCTTATTTTGTATCAAAAGTATACTTGCAGCAAATAATTATCTAATTTTTGACACTTGTTTACTTTCTGGTATTCTTTTGTTTTTTTTATTATAGCCAGCCTACTCCGATGTATAAACACGTAATTAATTAATGAGTAGGTACTTTTGTGAAAAATATTGAATAACCTAAACACTGCGGAGTTTAAGCACAGGGCACCCCTTATAAACATTTAAGAGAAGACAAAAGCGAATAGCGAAATAAAATAGTGGTAGTTCCATTTGAAAAAGAATAGTTATAGCACTTTGAACAAACGGCATTGAAACAACCAAATATTCAGGATGTTCTATTTAAAAAGATCAGTTATTAATTGACATCGTAAAAATGGAACACCCTGTACATTCAAAAATAATTTCTGTAGATCCGCAACCACCAATATTTTTACCAGGTATCTATCAGCTATGTAGGAAAAACCGTCGGACTGTTGCAGGACCCTGTATATAGCCAAAAACTATAATATTGAATCAAAAATTATTTGTGGCTCTTTAAGAACTGGGAAATTTTGTAAATTGTAATTTTTGGCTCTTCCGTTTCAATAGGTTGCCGACCCCTGTCTTAGGTAGTTTAACCGGTGGCAACGGTTTAACCGACACACACAAAAATTAAGAATAGATAGGTAGGTACATTTAATTTCTGTTACAGTGATCAAGGATGCCTGCGTATTTTTTGCTTTCCTGTTCAAATGTAATTCAATCTTCCTTAAGGAATGTTAAGTAAGGTCACGATTCATGAAAGGAAGAATGTTTATCTTACGTCATTCAACATCCTGTGTGCCACATAAATGCCTTATAAGTACGTTTCTTGGGTATCTAGAATTCTGTATACAACAATTACAAATCGAGATAGTGGGTTCATTACAGATTCCTGTATAATAATTAACAAAGGTAAAAAAACTGACATTATTATTCATCTTTCTCGATGGTAGAGACATCTACGTCTTGTAATTTAAACTATTGAAAACAGTCACATATCCTGCCATTTAACCTGCGCTTCTGATAGTTATAAATTCAATGATACGATTTTGCGTGCAATGTTATTTTCCTATGTTCCATTAAAAAAAAAACGCGTCGACATATAGGAGCAGCACAAATGCGTAGTAGCATTGAATAAAAACATTTATTCAATGGTAGTAGGTGTAATGTACAACTGTCACTTCAAATCTACCGCCCTACAGATAAACTTCAAAAATGCTGTCTAAAGAGATGAAAATTGAAATTATAATAGTATATTAAGTATGGAGAACGGTAAGGGATTTTTACCGTTCGAAGACAATTGTTTGGAGGAGGAGCGAAGCGACGACTCCAATTATTGTCTGAGAACGGTAACCCTTAACGTTCGACGTGCTTATAACATTTTTTGCGCGATCGAAATTAAAATTATCCAACCAATATAACTATGCACTAAGAAATGAACGAGCAGAATAAATCGAAATGATCAAAGTGGTATGGTGTACATCACTAGGCAACCAGTTTAAATGTCAAAATTGAAATTAATAATTCCATAAAAATGTGCATGTGTCTGATGTAGTTTACTAGCTTTGCACATCCTTTATGACTTTATGAGCGTCTTGCTATAGGAAACAACAGCACAAATTGTACGATTAATGTACCTAACAATAATTAAAGATTAAATGTAATGTAAGACTGTTGATTTTTAAAAAGGCGTCGGTAAGTATTTTTGCTGTTCTGTTTTTAGATCGGTAAGTAATTTTGGCGTCGTCGTAATCATAGCAACTGGTAAATTCTACGTACTGTCATGGAAACACCCATGGTAAATAGTCAGAAATGACCGATCGCGCAAAAACTTATACAAAGGTCCACAACAGTGTAAGACAAGTCCGTGATTTACTTGCAGTCCAGCCAACTGGAAGAGGAATAAGGATATTATTAGTGAAACCAGACGAGTGGTAGTATCCTTCTCTCTCTCACACTAGTAACATTAAATGTATTGACATAATTTTTCTATTTCATTTCACTTAAATTCATACAGTCGTATTTTCTGCTTCTATCTAATAATAAATAATAATAAATCTAATAAACAAACTGGGAGCTATGAGAGTGACTGAAATAGATATACTACCACCTCAATCTGTCGAACAGCTTCAACGGACTTTATCTAAATAAACCGAGGGTCCAACGTGTTTCTTTTGGGAGTCATCCTCAAAAAAGTGGTGAAATTTGAATTTCTTCTTTAATTTTTTCACATGCACACCTGCGCATGGGTGATTCTACCCTTTAATAGCTAAGAATGTGTGTATCAAATTTGGTACCGATCGGTTCAGCCGTTTAGCCGAAAACAAGAGTACAGACGGACCGATAGACAAATAGACGGTTGATTATAAATATAATAGTTAAGTGTTTGTATACAATGAACGTATACGTAAATATTTCATAAACCGTAACTCGTACATATTGGTATCGTTTCCGTAAATTTACTTCGGTGTTTACAATAAACCAAAGATCATACTACATATAGTAGTAGAATTATCATACTACATAGTAGTTTGACCGTACGTAACTTTGAAACATTTTCAACTTTTGCGACTATGCGCAAGACTTATCGCTTACATATACGTACGTAAAAATTACGTTCATTGTAAACACCTTCGTATGCTTCTATACAGTTCAACTTTGCGAAATTTTTAAGGTTTATGTATGTCTTACGTATACGTTCATTGTAAACAAGCACTAACTTCGTACGGGTGGTCGAAAAACGCGGGTGTATAGTGTAAACAGGGACAAGTAGATTAGCAGCAAAACTGAAAGTATTATTCTATATCAAAAGATGCTTTATAAACCGGACTTGTTACGAATTATCTAGAAGTTACAGACTGCACTTGTGAACGCACCCCACTTCCTTCGGCGTGGATGGAACCACAGACTAATATGATGCTACCAACAACAATTCAAATTTATCGGTCCAACCGTTTTCCGTTATTTGTGGTTAAATAACTTTGTTTACTGAACTTAATCGTATTTTTGTGTAATTTATTTTCCCTTTTAAGTAATGAGTCCCAGAAAACCCGAAAAAAAGACCCAAAAACGTAAACTACCAGCAGAAGACGAAGAAAGTGAAGCTTCCGAACATGAAGATCTCTCTGATGAAGAAGGCGGATTGCGGGTAGATGGTATATACATACCTCCGCCTCCAATAAGTGCCCGTACTCTCGGTAGTGATGGACCTCGGCTCATCATTACCGCAATAAGCAATTACTTTTTTAAAAGTTACGCCGAAACACAAGTTCTTGGACCATTTCACAAGGTAAAGCTATTTTCAATTACGATGTAACAGCTATGTGACTGTTACACTACCTGTAGACTTGAAGCCTCGTAGATCTATCAGATTAGAATCGACTCGCTTCAGATTCTGTAGTTTGTGTTATCGCTGCTTGGAAGTCTACGTTTGATTTTTTTGTTTTAGTGTTTTAATGCCATTGTCGGTCCTAATGGAAGTGGAAAAAGCAACGTTATAGATGCTATGTTGTTCGTATTTGGGTATCGAGCGACCAAGATTCGATGCAAGAAAATATCAGTATTACTGCACAACTCTGAGCATTATTCCAACATTCAAACTTGTACTGTAGCAGTACGTTTCGCCGAAATAGTTGATAAGGTAATGTATTCTTAAAGCAATAAATCCAATATGTACAGGGTGGTGTGTTTAATTAATTACATACAGGGAGTTTTTCTTAAAAGTGAACATACAATGCATCACTTTAATTTAATTGGTGCTTATTGTACTTTTCCATTTCTGAACTGCCTTTTAATTATTGTTCTAGTTGATGTCAGGCACTTTTCCAAAGGGACTATTGCTATTTAGTAGCTTAATTTATAAAATATACTATACCCTTGATTTTTTAGATTGCGTTTTAGGAATGACCGAAATCTGCAATGTGTGCATAAATAGCAATTTTGAAATTTAGACAAAAACATTTTGGCACGAGTATTTGTATGGGTGATGTATGTGTTGGACGTAGACATTTTTGCAGTAACATTTGTAACTGATTGTTTTTACACCATTTAGAGAAAATCATATTGACCATGGGAATTGAACAGTCCCTTTTTTTTTTGGTCATAAATAAGTATTTGGGTCAAAATATCCGTCTTGTGTAATGTATTTATAGTAGTATTTGACAACCAAAAAAATTATATAGAGCATATGAGGCGTCAAACAATTGTTTTTGGTTGAGATTTTGATATTTTTTTTAATGAAAATGAACTTTTACATCTTTTTATCGAGTATAAAAAACTGTATGCAGACATGGATAGTCTAGCTAGAATCTAGATAGTATAAAGTACCTCATAAATTGATTTGAATTATAGACTCTTTTGCCTAACTCGGAAATTTAAATAGCGTAATTTTCGAGGTAAATCCATCATATTCTTTTAGTATTTTGCCTAATTTTTCCTAAGAATTTTCTCATCCCTCCAACATTTTTCTCTTGATGAATATAATTTTTACATTTTTTTATAGCCGGGAGATGAATATGAAATTGTGCAGGGCAGCGAATTTGAAATAGCTCGCACAGCAAATAAGGACAATTCATCCTATTACACTGTAAATGGTTCCAGAGTACAATTCAAAGAGGTTGCCAAGAAGTTGCGATCGTATGGTATTGACCTTGACCATAATAGATTTCTAATCTTACAGGTAAATTTATTACGTATAGGTAGGTATTCGCTAATATTCGACACAACTTTTTTTTAGTCTACTCTTTTTGCTTTTTTTAGATTTTGTTCTCTTTTTTATACCAATTTATTAAAGAGGTTTGTATTTCAAGCGCAATATAGTATGAGATTTTTTGTGTATTTTTTTGGTAGTTTTTGGTGTGTGAAAATTAACTTGATCATACACTTTTTTTGTTTTCACCTCGCATTTCCCCGTCCCTCATCAAAAACAATACGTACCTCTGTTTGTCAAATTTTCAATTCTGGACTTTGGTACTGCAGTGTTTATTGCGAGAAACTGTGCAGATATCATTTATCTTAAAAAAATTGCTTTTGATAGGGCGAAGTTGAACAAATTGCAATGATGAAAAGTAAGGGTCAATCAGAACACGAGACAGGTATGCTGGAGTACCTGGAAGATATTATAGGCACCTCACGATATAAGGTATTTGTATTCATCATGAAACATCTTCATAATGTTCAATTATGTAAAAGGTTCCCCTTGTAAAATTAGAAGAACGAGTGGAATTACTAGCCGATCAGCGTTCGGAAAAGTTAAACCGCGTCAAACTTGTTGAAAAAGAACTCGAGGAATTAAAAAAGCCTATGGAAGATGCTGTTGAATTTTTAGAATTGGAAAATTCCATTGTGTTAAGCAAAAATATAATTTTTCAATGGCATATGTACGTGTAAACGCTAAGTGCCTAAATTTATCGTTGCGGTTGTAGATGCGAAGCAGAGGAGAAAATTAAGCAAATTGAAGAGGAGAAAAGTGAAGTTGCCGCTGCTCAAAATGAGCTTGCTGAAAAGTTAGCTAAAACTCACCAAGAGAAACAAGAGGGAGAACACAACTTTAAAGAAGCTTGCAAGTATGTCATAAAAGCAAATCAATTTTCTGGTTTTGACTTACGTATTTTCTTTTGTTGACAGAAAATGTGAGAATTTACGTAAAAGAACTGAGAAGTTAAAGGAAGCATTTGGTGTTGCCAATAACAGGGATATACAACTTCAAGCTGAAATGACCCAAACAAACAAAACGAGGAAAAAGACGAAAGAATTGCTCGCCGAAGAGCAGAAGAAATTGGTTGAGTATGAACGTATGCCAAAGGAGAATGAAGATGTACGTATAAACTTTTTTTAATAAATTTGCTATAAAATAGTGCTACATATACACCGTTTCCGAGATAAGGAGGCCACTATGGGCATTCTCGAAAGGGTAAAAAATACAAATGAAATGCAAGAAAGGATATCGTTTAGAAATTCCTAAAAAATTTTTTGGTTTTTGAAATATTTTCAAAAAATTTTTTTTTTTTGATTTGACGAACTATTTTTGTGTGGCGTGAAAATTTTTTTTAAAGTTGCTGTGGAGAAAATAGTTCGTTAAATCGATAAAACGATTTTTGCAAACTATGTTTTTCAAAAACCAAAAAATTTTTCAGATCAATGCTGCCTTCTTAACCTTTGATTGTGCAATTTTTCCATCATTTCACTAAATTTGTGTCTTACCGTTTCTAGAATACCCATAGTGGCCCTCTTTAACTCAGACAGTGTATCTTGTAAATCTGGATTGTGCTTAAAGTAAACAAGCCGTCGTACTCGCGCAAGTGGCCAGAGCGTATTTTTCGTATGTGACTTTCCACATGTATAATACCAATTTTTAATGTAGCTAATAATAATAACCTACATTTTAATTATTACCAATTAACTTGAAAATTTTACTGTTAACAATTTAGGAGGGATAAGAATGTTCTGGCAAATGTTTGATACATACAAAATACTATCGAAAATAATTTCCCAAAGTTTCATGACGAATACTTTATCCAAATTCATTCTTATTTTCAGCCCTCTTTGAAAATATAGGGTAGCACAACCCGGACATTGGAGGCTGCCAGAAGTCGTTTTTGGGAATAAGCAAATATTGAATATTCAGTGACAAAATTTTCATGACTAATGAAATGACAACTTCCTCTAGAATATTTTTCGTTGCTCAGGAAATCTCTTTGTAGGGCCAGTCATTGTTTTGTTTTGCTTAAGGCATAAACAGAGCAGACAATAATAGCTCAAATACATGTTGCTAACGTTGTTTCCAACATTTTTGTTGTCTGCTTTGTACTCACCTTACTACGAACCCTTGAACGCGTTCGCCAATACATAACATGTGCTTACAACTTAGATCATATATATCGGGTGACCCCATAAGACTGTTCCTCGGCCATATCTCGGGAACCGTTCGTCGTATGACTTAGGGGCGAGGGGTAAACCGCTAGCAAAAATTTGTACACCAAATACCTTTTCCTGAAAAAATTCCGTTTAATTCCTTTTAATTCCTTAATTCCTCCTAAATTTTTATTTCCTATTAATACCTTAATTATAGCCATGAACTCCTCAAAACTTTTTTATTTCCTATTAATACCTTAATAATGCTCTCAATTCTCCACAATTTTTATTTCCTATTAATACCTACCTACATTATTGCTCTGAATTCCCCACAATTTTTACAACAGCTCTATTCTCTATAATTGGGCTACAAAGCCGGAGGACGGGTTTTCGAACCTGGGCTGAGGTAAGAATTTTTTATTTGTATCAGAGATAGGAATTTCCTTAGATCAGTTTCGAGCATTCTGCCGGCTACTCCGAATTAGGTTTTCTTGCAGTTTCCCTAATTCGTAAGGTAAATACCGGAGTAGTATAGAACAACTTTAAAGCATTATGCGGGTCACTCTGTAACTGTGCGCAAGCCTGTTAAGGGCCCGGAACAAGAGAGGGGCAATAAATAAACAAAATAGAAAAAAAATAGACTAATACCTACCTTTATAACTTTACTAAAATTTATATTTATTGAACTTATTGATTTCTCCGTACTCACATAAACAATATAAATTTATTTTTGGTTCATAGTGAAGCGAGTGGTGAAGTTTAAAAAATATGAATTCCATAAAAAAATATTAATGTATTCAGTACATAATGTTATTACCAAAACAAACCAAAAATACTTAATCCAAGACAGAGTAATAAAAAAATTTTAAATACAAACAAGCATCTTTAATAAAATCTTATACCAAATATTATACCGGCACGTCACAGTTTACAGCTAGTATGCATCGAGGTATGCACTATACGAGTAAAACGATGCGTCATTTTAATTCTGATGTATATTAGCGCATGCGCAAACCTATTTATTTCCTCCTTTTCCTTTTAATTCCCTACTAATACTTCATAATACCTTTAATTTCCTCGATAATTCTCAAAATACCTATTAATTCCTTTTAATACCTTCGAAATATCCTAATTCCCTCTTAATTCCCTCCAACTTGTACACTATTTCCTCCAGCGGTTTACCCCTCGCTTAGGGGTAAAAAATTATTAGGTAAATCGGTTATGAAGAATCGCTGGAAAATATTTTAAAGTTCTAAAAATGACCACCAGAGGGCGTAACTGCCATCTTAAATTTTAGAATTGCATTTTCTTTAAATTTCGGATAATAAACTAAATTTTGTTTGTTCACATTTTTAAAGAGAACAAGTTTATCATTTTCGTGAAAACAAAAACTCAGTTATTTCAAAAACAAAGATGGCGTGGGGCGTTCAATTGTTTTTGCAATAACCTGCTTTAACTTCTTAACAGTTTGACCGATTGTAACAAATTTGATATCGTTAAAAAGAGCATTCCTTGGGTCATAGTGTCAAAACTAGCCTCCTGGCGGAGAAGGATTCAACTAAATTAACTATATTTTGGTTGTATATTGCCCAAGGAATGCTCTTTTCAACCATACCAAATTTGTTAAAATCGGTCAAACGATTAAGAAGTTAAAGAAGGTTATTGCGATCTTTGTTTTTGAAATAACCGAGTTTTTGTTTTTACGAAAATGATAAACTGATTTTCTTTAAAAATGTGAAAAAAATTTTTTTAGTTTATTATGCGAAATTGAAAGAAAATGCAATTTTCAAATTTAAGATGGCAGTTACCCCCTCTGTTGGTCATTTTTAGAACTTGAAAATCTCAAATAATGAATTAATCCTTCACTTCTGCTGAAGTGGTTCTACTGTTTTGATGTCTGTTCTGATTTATGTAGACTATTCAAGAATGTATGGTAAAAGAAGCAGAGATGACTGCAAAAAAGGAGAAATTGCAAGCCGAAAAGGTAAAACTGTTGGCTAGCCTGCGCGAGGCCACTGTTGAATTACAAGAACAAAAGGAACACTTGCAGACAGAATTGGTCGACCTTAAAAAGGAAGTGGACGAAACTAAGTCCGCTGTATGTTTAGCTACTGAGATGTGAAACATCATAATAACGTATTATATTTCAGTTTAGTTTGGCGGAATCAGAATTAAATATATTTGTTAGTACAGAAGCAAACGAAAAAAAGAAACTTGAACACATTCAGAATGTGTATGCCAACATTAAAGAAAACATAAACTCTAGAAGTAGAGAAATTGCGGATTTGAAGAAAAGAATTCCGGCAAACAAAGAAAAATTGACGGAAGCCAGAAATAATCTTAAAGAAGCGAAGGCCCAAGAAGCCGAATTTATAGATCAAATCAGAACTCGCCGTACCTCTTTGGCCGAAGTTAAATCTTCTATGCAAGCAACCAGGTCTCGAGGAAGAGTTTTAGACTCATTAATGAAGGAGAAAAGAGAGGGAAGGTGTCCAGGTTTATTCGGCCGTTTGGTAATATTTTTTTTTTTAATTGCGATTATTAATATAAATCGATTAGGGAGACTTGGGGGCCATCAATCAGAAATACGATGTGGCGATTTCAACAGCGTGCGGTCCACTAGATAATATTGTAGTGGACACTGTTACTACAGCACAATGGTGTATTGAATTTTTAAAAAGGAATGATGTGGGCCGTGCTACATTTATTGCTTTGGAGAAACAAGAACATTTGAGAGGCCGTGCAGAGTCATCAATTGTTACGTGCGTAGGCATGTTTGTGTACTTATATATTGAATTTTCATTTTAGACCTGAGAACGTTCCACGGCTGTTTGATTTGGTTAAAATTGCAGATGATAGGATAAAACCTGCATTTTACTATGCCTTACGAGACACTCTGGTGGCAAATGATTTAGATCAAGCATCTCGTATTGCATATGGTAAACAAAGGTATCGAGTTGTAACCTTAACGGGACAACTAATTGAAACAACTGGAACAATGAGTGGAGGAGGTAAAACTGTATCTCGCGGGCGGATGGGACAATCGGTTGCTGTTTCTACAACCGATCCCAAAGATGTGCAGCGTATGGAAGAAACTTTACAAAACATGGAGGAAAGAATTCGAATTCTACGTCAAGAACAAGAAAATTGTGAAGCCATAATTAACACTTTGGAACCAGAAGTAAAGCAAATGGAAACTGATGTGCATAAGTTCACAATTGAACTTGAGGTAATCTCGCCGTTATACAAATGCAAATTAACCTTGGTTCGTTTCAGTCATCGAAACAGCAGGAGCCATTAATTGCCGAGCAGTTAGAAACACAAAAAGCAAAGAGTAAATCGACAAAGGCCGATACAGGGACAGTAAAAAAACTTACTCAAATTGTCAATCAGAAGAAGCAGCTTTATGATCGAGCAACTGAGGCTGCTAATGAAATACAGGTCCAAGTAGACCGTTTAACGCACGAAATTAAGGAAAAAACTGTGGGAAAAATGAAAGCAATGGATAAAAATTTAAAGGATGTACAGAATACAATTGATAAGTGCAAATCTGAAATAACACGTAGAAATGTAGCGACGAAGACAGCGCAAAGGTGAACAATTGCTATTTTGTTGATTTTTTAAAATTTCGATTCTCATTTGATTTTAGGAACTTTAAGAAAAGTACCGAAAAAATTGCTACTATGGAGCAGGATATAGTCGATATGGAAAATAAATTGAGAAGTATGAAGGCACAAAGAGAAGAAATCGAGAGAGATGCAAAAGAGTTACTTCAGAGTATTGAAAATATTACTACCGAATTAGGTGATGCAGAAGAACAGTGTGCAGGTAAAATTATAACTGTCATTTATTTTGCAATGTTTCATTCATTGGAGAATGGCAATAATTGTGTTTGGTTACTTGGATAACTTTAGAAAAAAGTAAGGTTTTTATAACTCGATCTTGAAGATTCAAAAAAGTATTATTGAATCCTATTGGTATTTAAGGTTTTACTCATACAGTTCGAATACACGTAATTTCTTCCTCGCAAAAAAATAAGTGTGCTGGCGGGCTCCCGTCCTGATCAGGATCACTCAGTTATTAGCTTGTTTAACAGCCGGGATTTGCTCGTCATGAAATGATAACTTCTAGTCCAAGATCCCAGGGCTCCCAGACCGTACTTATTTTCTGATGGACGAAATATGTACAATAGAGTTGTATTAGTGTGTACAATGATGGCCAATTGTGAGATACCAGGTGTTACAGATACATGCGCTTGAGTGTGAGCGAGATAGCTACGTATAGCGTGCTTTCGATATTTAAAGTGTCTGGCAATGGATACTGCCGATAGTAGGTACCTTTCAGTATTAATTTCTAATTGTTTACAATATTCCCTACAACATACATAAGACTCAGCCTGTAAGTAAAGTGGGTACAATTTGTTTGTACCTGTAGCACCTGGTACCTGGGAATTGGCCGTCAGCCCAAGCTAGGGGGTATGCTATATGTTCATTGTACGCACTAATACTACTCTATTGTACAGGGTGAGTCAACGATTGCACGGAGTAACTTAATGCCTTGAAGATAAGATTTTTCGATCGAGTGCTTTTGTATTATGATATATATTCTCCACATTTTAAAAATATTTGGAATTATACAGGGTGCGCCCACAAAGCGCCCAAATGGTACATTTTTTTAAATAGAACCCCCTGTATTTGAATTCTACGTGTAATTGTACATCTTTTTTATTATATGATTAATATCCGAAAAGCTAGTAGTTTTAAAGATAATTCGATTTTTAAGAAAAATTGAGCATTTGCGTCAGTATATCGTCAAAATATTTACTTAAATTTTGATTCCAGATTTTATATCTTTTATCCTGGGTTAAGTAAACCTCAAATAAATACATCTACTATAAAAAAATTACAGGGTGTTTTTTTCTAGATCCAAAGTTACAAAACTTCATATAAAAAAATCTCACTTTTTTTAAATGGAACACCCTGTATATTTTTCTGTCATCATTTAGCTCCTCCAAAAACCTCCAACTGTTGATAATAATGTCCTATACCTATATCTGATAGTTTTCGAAACATCTTTTTTTTTTTTTTAATGAAATTAAGACGCTTCAACTACGTGGTCATTAGCGCCGTGTGATACATGTTGACACAGTATGTTATATTTCTAGTTTCGTTAGTTTGATAAATCTAATTATGTTTGCTATATTGTTTTCCTGGTTTTTACACTCTAATCCGCTCTAATCTTAAATAAGTTAAAAAAATTTACATAATAGTGAGGTGGCCATGCAAAAAAAGGCAATTTTATCTGCCTGGTTCAAAGCTAAAATCATATTTATTAATTCATTTTTCTAATTATTCATTTAAGTCTATAAAAACTGGAGAATAAATTTGATAGTAAAAACATAAACAAATATCTTGGTTTTTCTACTTTTTATATTTTCTGAAATAAGTTCTAATTTATATAATAACGAGGTGAATATGAAAAAAAATGAAACTAATATCATCTAACTGACTGGATGACATTAGGAGTTACATTAAATTTGCTTTGTAGTCAAATGTTTTTACTTATTCTCCAGTTTTTGGACTTAAAATAAATTGTTTGAAAAATAAATTAATCGATATGATTTTCGTTTTGGACGAGATAGATAAAAATTGCCTTTTTTTGCATGGCCACCTCACTATTATGTAAATTTTTTTAACTTATTTAAGATTAGAATGTAAAAACGAGGAAAAAAAATGATGTTTCGAAAACTATCAGAGATAGGTATAAGACACTATTACCAAAAGTTGAAGGTTTTTGGAGGAGATAAATGATGACAGAAAAATATACAGGGCGTTCCATTTAAAAAAAGTTCGATTTTTTAATATGAAGTTTTGCAACTTTGGACCTACCAAAAAAAACACCCTGTAAGCTATATTTTAATGTTTCATAGTAGATGTATTTATTTGACTTTTACTTAACACAGGATAAAAGATATAAAACCTGGAATCAAAATTTAAGTAATAATTTTGACAATATATACTGACGTTTGCAAATGCGCAATTTTTCTTAAAAATCGAATTATCTTTAAAACTACTAGCTTTTCGAATATTAACCATATAATAAAAAAGACGTACAATTACACATAGAATTCAAAAATGCATTCAAATACAGGGGGTTCTATTTTGAAAAATGTACCATTTGGGCGCCCTACTTTGTGGGCGCACCCTGTATAATTCCAAATACTTTTAAAATGTGGAGAATATTCAACCATATCATAATACAAAAGCACTCACAACCAACTTATACTTTAACGATATACAAAAGATTAATTTTCAGTTCAACGAAATACAGATTTTTACATTTATTAAGGATCCTCAGATCCTTTATAGTTTTGTATTGTCGTCCGTCCGTCCGTCCGTCCGTGTGCGCTCTAACTCTTTTTAAAAGTGGCCGATTGAGTTGAAATTTGGTGTACGGGTTCTTTGGACATTAAGGACGGACGCTATTGATTTTCAGGAAGCTGGTTCAATAGGAACAAAAGTTATAGGACTTCGAGTGAATCGGGAACAGGAAAAACTACGGGCTCAATATAATAGAAATCAACATATTTCATTCCCTAGGTCATGTATCGGGTTGGGACTTCCGCTAGATTATTCCCTATGACTCTTAGATGTGTAATACTTTAATATAACTCTTCTCTGTGGTATAGGTCGAAAGTTTTAGAGCAAAATGTAGCAAAAATTACACTTTATACATGAATTTAGAGTTTTAAAAGGTTTCAAACGCATTATCTTGATGCAGCAAGAGTACATCACGTGCACATTTGATAACCGCATGTGTGTGATTCAAAAATGTTAAATTATTGCCATATGGGTTTTGATCAAAATAATCAAAATCGTTATTTATGCACCAAGATCGTCGAGAAAAAGACTAGGGGCATTATCTCAATGCTCAAGACATAAATTTGATGCATTTCTGGCGACCACATGGATTTTGATCAAAACATGTCAAAATCGTTATTTATGCACCAACATCGTTGGGAAAAAGACTAAGAGCATCATCTCAATGACCAAAACATGAATTTGATCTATTTTTGGCGACCACATGAATTTTGATCAAAACATGTCAAAATCGTTATTTATGCACCAAGAACGTTGGGAAAAAGACCAAGAGCATTATCTCAATGATCAAAACATGAATTTGATCTATTTTTGGCGACCACATGGATTTTGATCAAAACAAGATTAAGAGCATTATCTCAATGGCCAAGACATGAATTTGATGTATTTTGTAACATTAAAATAAATTATCGTTAAAAGTTATTGTAATACTGAGGATCCTTCGATATTTCGTTGTATCGGTTTATTCTTAAGGATTTTATTTCTTGGGAAGGAAATAAAATAATTTACGTAACCATTTTTGAATACCAAAAACAAGATATTCAAGGGTTATTGTACCGTGTGTCCTATTTTGGTTGAGACTGCGGTGTCTCTGTTTGCTGTTTTTAATGATAGCCTTGGGGTTTTAGCCACCTTGTGCCACTTTTCTGTGAACTTTAATGCCACAAACAGAATCAATCAGCTGCGTTTGTTTCCGGAATACAGGGTGAAAATGAAAAATTTGACTTTTGGCATGTTATCATATCTTACTACCCATAGAAAAAAGCAAAATTTGGACCACCGTTTCGGAGATTTGACCTATTGTCGGTATTTTTTAAATTCAACACCCTATACACCGTGTCCAAGATAAGGATGTCTATCATGGGGATCTCCAAAACCATAGAAGATACGAAGATGGTCAATTAGAGAAAAGATGCGCAATTGAAGATGTATTATCATGCTCTAAATAGAACCAGAAATTCCGATTACCTCCGATACCCCAGAAAAACCTAAAGTTGCCAATTTCGTTATTATTTTTTTCTGATGTTATTTGAACATATACAAAAAATAAAAAAAAAACAATTTCTCAATGTCACTTTTTGAGCTCTACAAGACAAGAAAAATAAAAACTAATAAAAAGAATGAAAATGAATTTTTCTGGCATATCTTTGGAAGTAATTGGAATTTTCTGAATTTCTTTTAAGTAATTACTCTTTAATTGCGCAACTTTTCCCTAATTTGACCATCTTCGTATCTTCTCTGCCTCTATGGTTTCCCGTTTCCGAGATCCCCATGGTAGACCTTATCTTGGACACAGTGCATATCTTAACGTCAATTGCTGTAGCAATTGCATTCGTTTTCCTTCTCGCTTATTAGCATAGATAGAGAGTTGGTTAATGGACAAAAATGATCCTGGAATCCTAAAGAAAATCAAGAAACAAAATTTGCCCCCTATATAAAGTTTTCTAAATATGACGAAAAATAACATAATTGACGTTTTTGATTTTTGGCTTTAAAATCGTTATTTGGGGAGATATTTATAAACTAAGTTAGATTCAGGTTGTTAATTGATATTGCTTTTGTTAAATGTCACTCAAAATGTTTTTTTTTTAATTTTGACCTTATTTTGATTTTTTTATAAACCTGTTATACATTTTTGAAATCAGGATTTTTTTCTCATTTCCATTATCTAAAAGAACAGAAATCGTTATCTAAAGAAAGTCTTTTTAGATTTTAATTCTCTCCCCGAATAACTATTTTAAACCCTAAAATCGGGAATGTAAATTATGTTATTTTTTGCCATATTTAGGAAACTTTAGAGAGGGTGTAAATTTTGTTTGATTTTATTTAGGCATAACTTTAGGATCATTTTTGTCCGTTTAACCACATCTAAGTATGCTAATAAACGAGATTTCTGTACCTTACCCGAAATTGGATACAACCTGTATATTAAATGATATTTTTCAAAATTTTGAAATGGCATGTTTCTACCGTCAGCCATTTTTATTGATTGGTACTGGCTGCCATGCAATAAAAACAAAATCTTCATGAATCTATGCCCTAACTATTTAAAAGCCGTAAAAAATAAGGTTTTTATTTTTGGTTCATGGATAAAAGTAAAAAAATTGTGATACATCAATGTAATCAGGAAAGATAATGCAAAAAATTGACGTTAAAATAATACAGTGTGTTGCATTTAAAAAATACGAACTTTGGATCAAATCTCAGAAAGGATGGGAATAAAAAATTTTTTTACTATTCAACTGGATTGTACGTAAAAATATCTAGAATGGTCAATTTTACCCTTTTTCCATCTTACATGGACAGTAAGATACGATAACCCAAAAAGTCAAACTTTTCGTTTTCACTCTGTATCTCAGAAACAAATGTAGCTACATTCATTCTGTTTGTGGTATTAAAAGTTTCACAAAAAAGTGGAGAAAACCGCAAGTCTCTATCTTTAAACACAACTGAGAAGTATTTACACTTTTGATGGAACTGTACTCAGCCCTGTCCTGGCGAATCATGGGGTGGTGAGTGGCCATTTAGGTATCACAGTCGCAATGGAGCCATGGACTGTAGAACAACGTGTGTTTACCTACGATTCGCAAGCTAAAAATAATGACTCAGTGGATGCATGATTTTTGCTGTCACATCAACGTTGGCTGTTCGTGTACCACCTAATGTTTTTTCATCATAATTTTGTTCGTGGTTCGAAAACTTCTAACCCATTTCATAATTGTTGGCCAATGTTTAAACTTTAAATCATTGCGAAAATCACGCTCACAATTATACAGGGCTGGTCATAGAGACGTGGCACGCCAATATTGCATTTTTTAAATATAATTCTTGTCTCAATTAGTCAATTTTACATTGTACATTATGCCTCTCACAAATTTGCTTAAAATTGAGAGAAGAATTGAATTATAGAATAATATATAGGATGTTTCATTTAAAAAAATGGAATTTTGGTGACCAACCCTGTATAATTAAAATTATTACTGTCTAGTAGGCATTTAAGAACCCTAAAATTTTCTTATAAAACTTTTTTCGATATTTTGTATATTTTCTCCAATAATCAACAGTTTCCACACTTATCAGCGACCTTGTATACATTCTGAATAAACTCGTAACATAAACTTAGGTAGCTACACACCTTGAAGAAATTGTTGTACAGTGGAGGAAAAAAAGGAATATTAACAAAAGCTTATCCATAAAATTTCAAGTCAGTATATTTAAATGAAATTTTGACTAAAACCATCAGATAATTTTGTGCGCATAAGCAAAGCAAAATTTGCTTCTAATAAAGTAGCATTAGTTCCTGAATGTAGAAGACTGGCAAAAGTGTGATAGGTGTGTGATTTCTATATTTTTCCGAAATACAGATTTAAAGAAAGCCGTTTCCGACCTTGCAAAAGAGGAGAACAAAATAAAATCGGACAAAATCGAAGTTGATCAGAAGTGCAAAACGTACAACGCACAGATTAATGAGCATAAGGGACAGATTCACGGTTATAGGTCGAAGGTGAGTTAGTGCTAAATTATGATTGTTGCGCAATGTTTTGCTTTGCAGTTGGCTCATTTGAAGCTTCAAGAGATACCCGACCAAGCCACAGAGGAATTGAAGGAGTTTACGCAAGATGAGCTAAAAGAGAAAAACATTGGGAATATACAGCGACAATTGACATTCCAAGAGAATCAAATTAAAAGTGCAAAACCTAATCTAAACGCAATAACAGTAATTTCAACTACTGATCCTATTGAAGTATTTTATCTGTTTTTAATTGTAGGAGTATCGAAAGAAACAAATGATATTTATTGAAAGATCAAAAGAATTAGATGAACTTTCTCAAAAGAAGGCTAAAGTTAAAGAGGCGTTAGATAATGTTAGACAGAAAAGGAAGGAGGAGTTTGCAACCGGATATAATATTATTCGATTAAAATTGAAGGAGATGTATCAAATGATTACTTTAGGAGGAGACGCCGATTTTGAATATGTTGATACATTTGATCCATTTACGGAAGGTATTCAATTCAAGTGAGTAGTCACTTATTGTCTGGTGTGGTAGGGTAGTTGCTGCCTTAAACGCCCTACTGGTTTTACTGGTTATTTTTATGGAGTATTGGGGTTTGGAGTTCTTTTTTACAGAGCTGCTAACTTTTTTGAATATGTGTGTCTACACAATGGCATTTTGGATGCTTGTATTTTTTATTTTTAAGGACTCGGTGTTATAAATATGATCACCTTATAGCTTTGGCCCCGCCCACTTGAAACTGATTTCAGTAATATAAATACATTAGTTACTGTAAATATGTCATTTTAGTGTACGTCCACCGAAGAAATCGTGGAAAAATATATCAAATTTATCCGGCGGCGAAAAGACGTTATCTTCATTGGCATTAGTATTCGCTTTGCATTATTATAAACCGTCTCCCTTATACGTGATGGACGAAATTGATGCAGCTCTGGATTTTAAGAATGTTTCCATTGTGGCAAATTATATTAAAGTAAGTAATAGAATCATGTAAATGAAATTACATTTCTCAATTACTAGGAACGAACAAAAAATGCGCAATTTGTTATCATCTCCCTAAGATCCAATATGTTTGAGCTGTCCGATCATCTAATTGGTATATACAAAACCTTTAACTGCACTAAGTCAATTACTATTAATCCAAGAGTGTATGATAAACCGAAGCAAACCGCCATGATTCCAGAACCACAGCAAAATGGTAATGATGATATAATCGAAACACCACAAGGAGTTGCTTCCGAAGACAAGGAAGTTGAAAATGAACCAAATGAGATTGAAATCAATGGGTCACAAATGGAAGTTGATGAATAATTTATTATCGAATTTTAATAATGTAAAGATTTTTATATTTTTCTAATAGAACAGTGTTAATTACTTCTAGGAAAAGTTTTTCTTTCTTAGCACTGATAAAGAATGTAGTGGTTCATTTTTTTTGCAAAGGACTGTTTAAATCATGTCCATATGATGTAGGTATGTGTTTAGTTTATTGCGACTATCTTCCATGATCATTGACATTTGTGAATATTCCGGAATTCTTACAAATTTGGTTTGAAATGTGGTTAAGGTTCAGATAGTGATTTCGTAATTTTGAAGTTAGCTTCATACCTTCTGTATTTATGCATCTATCTGTTAAGGAGGATGTGGTAGGTACTCTTCCGTATCATAAATTGAGCCATAAGAAAAGCTAATCTAGAGACCAGGATAGACATTAGTTGTTTGACTGACTCCCCAGAATTGCAGCGGAGTTTGCAAAATCGGAAAGGGCATACCCCAAAACCTATTCAAAGACGTGCCACCAATCTTTGTTTATGGTTGCTGAGAAAAAAATTAAAGAAGAAATGCAAATTTCACCACTTTTAGAGGGTGGTTCCTAAACGAAACACAGTGTACTCTTGGTTTATTTGGAAAAAGTGCACCCTATTTTTTGTTCATACTTAACACCCTGTATAGTCGCATGATAGGTGTCCTGTGATTATATAGAAAATCCTATTTTTGAACATGATCCATCATTCCTCTAAATGGGATTAAGTGATATCAAAGATTAAGAAAATTGGATTTCAAATCCTTCCCCATACATTTACAAATGTATAGGGAAGGCTTTGAGATCCGATTTTCTTAACTTTTGACAAGAAATCTTATATAAAATAACTTTTCTTATCTACTTAGTCATATACAGGGTGTTCCTTAAAGGCATGCTAATATTTTAAGAACGCCATATTGGGGCCAAATTCCGAGTGAATAAAAGTCAATTTTTTCAGGTTTTTATTATAATGACTGTTTTTCATATAAAGACGGAAAATTGGAAAAATAAAACCCGCATCTTTTTCAATAATCTGCGATGCCATGGAATTTTCTAAAACAAAAAGATATTCAGTTATCAATTTACAGCAGTTCGAAATGGATTTTATGATAGACTTGGTTACTGTCTTGCAGTTAATGGCGACTTATTCGAACATTTATTGTAAATTGTTATATTAGGAAACCGTTTTTAGTAATTTGGTCTTTCTTTATGTTGAATTCGCTGTTTTAAATATAATACTTTTTGATATAAATTGATTTGTTTTATAGCAGACATTCCATGGCATGACGGATATTGGCGTAGTTTTTTTATTATAAAATTCCATGGCATTACAGATTATTAAAAAGATGGGAGTTTTATTTTTCAAATTTTCCGTCTTTATTATGCAAAAATTACGGTTGATTGACGTAAAAAAAATTTTTCTACAAAAAACCTTAATACATTTTTGCTCTAAAATAATTTGGGGAGCCAATAATCGCATGCTATTTTACATTGAAATTCCTATGATGCGTTACGCAACTCACCACCCTGTATACAGTGTCCCCCCGGATGGACTGAACAAGAGGTTGGAGGATACCACATTGAATAAAATAAAATGTTCCTCTTAAGCTCTAAGGTGTCTTTTTTAACCTGATTTGCTTATCAGGTTGCCATGGAAGATACAATGATAGTCTGATTTAATCAAAAACATGCAACTTAGAAAAATTTCCGCTGTAGATTTTGCGTTTTTTGTAATTTTCTCAGCTGCTAAAAGGAACATCTAGATTTTTATTTCAGAATAGGTGGTTTTGAATCAAGCAAAAATTTTTATAAAGAATGACATTTTTGCGTAAAGTTAAAATTAAAATTTTTTTCCCTCTTGTTGAGTCCATCCGGGGACACACTGTGTGTATACATTCGTATACTGTGCCAGTACGGCGGCAAATGTTTCTGGCTACTGACGTCACGCGGGGTAGTCTCGCGCACAGATACCTACGTTTTCTTGCTTCGCGCCGACCCTTGATTTTAAAGTGCTTACAGCGGACGTAAATATCAATATTTTGCACCCAATTTTTTCTGATCGTTTTTTTTAATAACAAAATCTCTCGATTTCAGTTAAAATAAAAAATGTCGAACCTGCCCATTGACGTTTGTTAATTTATAGGTTGACAGTCTCATCGGACAACTTCGAACAGACTCGTGAAACTCACATACTCAGGCGATGCCCTTGGCCATATTTATTATTTTTCATTTTTGTTAATAATAGTGTACCGGGTGACCCAATAAGACTGTTCCTCGGCCATATCTCGAGAACCGTTCGTCATATGACTTTGGGGTAAACAAAATTATTGGGTAAATCGGTCATGAAGAATCACTGGAAAATATTTTCAAGTTCTAAAAATGACCACCAACAGAGGGCGTAACTGGCATTTTACATTTTTAAATTGCATTTTCTATAAATTTCGCATAATAAACTAAAAAAATTGTTTTCCGATTTTTAAAGAGAACCAGTTTATCTATCATTTTCGTAAAAACAAAAACTCAGTTATTTCAAAAACAAAGATGGTGTGGAGCGTTTAATTTGTTTTTGCAATAATCTGCTTTAACTTCTTAATCGTTTGACCAAAGAGTAACCATAATGTTTGACCGATTTTAACAAATTTGGTATGGTTGAAAAGAACATTCCTTGGGTAATGAGAATCAACCAACATATAGTTAATTTAGTTGAATCCTTCTCCGCCAGGGGGCTAGTTTTGACACTATGGTACAAAATCTTAAAAAAAATCAAATGGAATGATATGACTTTTTCTTTATAAAAAAGTAGGGAAATAACATCCAAAGAGGCCAGTGAAAACCGATTTTCAAAATCTCGTTCCTAACCTTAAATATTGGGAAAATGAGATTAATTAATTAATTAATAAAAATGCTTAACTTAATTTACTTTTTACGTATTTCCGGTATTTGTCTATGGCGCGAAAGAAAAGCACCCTACACTTTTAGGTATGCCTTAGAAAAGTAAACAAATGAAACAGGATGCATTATAAAATAATAACAGCCGTAATTTGTAAATTAATCTGCTGTGTCTACATTCAGAAAGTGTAGTTTTTTGAATTTGTAATCTTTTGTAAAATGCCGATCTCTAACCAAGAAGCCTTTAATATTTTTTTTTAAGAAAATGATAGATAAAAAGGTTCTCTTTAAAAATGCGAAAAAAGAATGTTTAGTTTATTATGCGAAATTTAAAGAAAATGCAATTTTAAAATTTAAGTAAAGTCCCTAGATTGGTAGAGTACCGCAATTGACGCCATTTTGACTCCAACACTTTGGTGGGAAATTTGAAAAGACGTCACATTTAATGTAGATAAATCTACAAAAATTTATTTTCGTACTTCCGGGACTGAAGTGAAAACTGCAAATAAAAATTAAAGCTTTTACCAAGCTTTGTTGTATGGAGTTTTGTGGATATAAAGCTTGTTTGGGAACAAATAACTGGTTTTAGTTTTGAAACATAGAAAAGTAGCTGTTTAGAAATAAAATAATTGCTCGTAGGTACATACCTACTTTACGGACATTCTTATCACAAGGTAACCTAAATAACCTGTAACCACGTTCGCTTCGATTGTTACACCCAGGAACACAACAACCCGGCATTGTTTCAGTTTTTTAAACCAAATAACACGAAACACGTTCTCTCTGGCAAACACGAAAACACGATGACGAATTGACGAATATCAACAGTGATATCAACGAAAGCAGGTTATGATCTGTGATTATGATATCAACACAATGCCGCGATGCCGTCAGATGTTATCGGCGGCCATTTTAACTCCAAAGGAGTGGACAAATCAATTGCGGTACTCTACCAATCTATATAGGGACTTTAAATTTAAGATGGCAGTTACGCCCTCTGGTGGTAATTTTTAGAACTTGAAAATATTTTCCAGCGATTCTTCATAACCGATTTACCCAATAAATTTTTTACCTTGAAGTCATACGACGAACGGTTCTCGAGATATGGGCGAGGAACAGTCTTATTGGGTCACCCGGTACCTACTCACAACAGCAATCTTTTTTGCCCGTCCATGCGCCCGTTTGTATACCTACATGATATCTCGCGAATGGTTTCAGATTTTTCAATTCTGTTTTTAGTAATGGGTAGATAATGATCAAGAGACTAATTCATTTTGGTCATTTGCACTTTCTGTGATTCTGTCCGTCCGTCTCTGTGTGCATGATAACTCCGTTCCCTTTGCTATATTTGTTACAAGTTTATTTATAAGTCTACAAATACTGCTTTTGCTTTACAACCGTAGTGCACTTACTGCCCAGGTTGTAGGCTAACTTCACACTACATTAACAGGGAAATAAAATTAACCCGGGTAACGTTTGAAAATGGCCACCGGCGCCGGTGTGGCTATTCCCCCAAAAAGCTAATCAGATCCCACTTACATTTGAATGACGAGGCAAACCCTTTTACTTTTGTTTTTGCAAATCGTGTGCAAATGCTGGAAGTGTTTTTATTGCATTTGAACGTGTGGGTGTCCGTATTTTAATTCGATAAATAGTGCATTAATTCACCATGTTAACGACAGCCGAGACGGATGTTCAACTACCGCTGTCATCTTTAAATATTCCTCCTTTCGAAATATTCGATGAAAAATAGAAAGACTTTCGGGTATACCACGCGCATTTAGAAAATTATCTTAGGCTGAGGGAAGTTTACGGGGATAAAGAAAAATCCAAACAAGGTCCCCTTGGCGATCTATTGGAGCTGTTTACTATGAAGTCCTTAAGGCATTATTTACTCTTAGTGCAACGGCCTGACCTGTCTGATGTTAGTAACGAGAAAAGCATTTATCGCCGGAGAAGTATATGCTAGTGTCGCAGCATTTTTCTCTATCGACCGTGCAAGGGGCAAACCAAAAAATTGCTGAATACGTAGCAGATCTACAGAAAGGTCTCGAATCCTGCCAATTTCTAATGAAATGCGAATGCGACAGAGCACAATTTATAAGAGATATAAGAGATACCTACTTAGATTACAGAGCACTTAAAGGGGCAGTATACCCAAATTTCATGTTTTCGACTAAAGATAGA